CAAAGGAAAATACCCAGTGAGAAATGATTCGTCGATCGATGTCGAAACGATGTCGAATCGACGTCAATTTGACGGTATCGATGTCGATTCGACATCGTTTTGACATCGATCGACGAATCATTTCTCACTGGGTATATACTTGTCTTACTCTAATTTATTGCACTAGTTCACCAGTGCAGGAACAAAAACAAACCTATACTATCGGCTTTTAAGTTGACCAATACTATAACTTTACTCACGTTCTCTAATTTATATCCGGGGGAAAACTATACATATGCATAAACGTACAATCTCATACAAATTTATATCCATTTCTATAAACGAATATTAAATTATTTAAAGTTCTCTAATGTATGTGTACGATCTTTTTTGTAAAGGTTTATTTTCAACAATACTTCGTCAGCGATGCAAATTCTGTTAACTAAATTTATTATAATTTTTAGAACGCTATTCGACACAATTGTCTATAATTTTTAATTAAAAGAACTTATTGCGAAAAATATTTTCGTCTTGGCTGCAGTAATATTTTTCCCAATAATATAGAACATTCTACTTTAACATTAATAATTATTCCTTTTTTTCCAATACTAATCGTTGTGACAATTTATTGTTTACTCCAAAAACTCCAAAGTTTATTAAAAATTTTTACTATATTTTATAGAGATTTCACTTTATTAATAAAAAAGTAAAATTATTTTAATAAGGGCTCTGATCAGGGGTGTAATTTCACGTATAAGTTTGTCTGAATCAAATACTATGTTCAAGAGACAGGCGCTCCGCAGCAGCACAACATTCGACACTTCAAACTTCCAACAATAATTACAACTTATGTATCCAAGGAGAAATGAAAAGTCAAGATGACGTCAGTTTGATGTCATATTGACAAAAATATGACGTAAATGTTGATATTAGCGATAAAAGTTTCAAACTCCAATTTGATAAAGGAATTTAATGTACAATGTTCGTGTTACTTTGAGCTAACTTTTTATTATATATATATAGAATTTTTGTATATATTACATGGCCTTTTTTATATACACATTTATAAAGTATTTGTATTTGGGTATTTTCGAGAATTTCAATACGCTTCATTTCTTAAAAGTTGATTTTCTATTGCTGTCTGTGTGTGAACCACTTACATGTTTCGTCTTCAAATTGTCCGTTCGGAAACACGTGCAATGAAAAAAGTTTTATTGTATTTTACATATACACGTACGATGTGTGTGTATTGATAATTTAAAAACTATATATATATATATTGCATACAATTGTCGATAATAATACTCGAATTGTCAACATGTATGTACATTCTTTGGTTCTCTAATAAATCTTTAATCTATAATTTTCAGATATTCGAATTGGATTTTTTAAAAATAGATTCAACTAATTCGTGTGTAAGTGTAAACGTGTAAGTAGAAAAATCCGCGTTTTCAAACTATCATATACAAGCTGTGCAGCTAAACTCATTTATTCATTTATTAATATAGCATATATTACCGAAATTTTTATAATAATTTATAAGGAGGTAAGTAATATGCGATATTAATTAGCACAACTCTTATTACACAAACAAATCGCAGAAGATATAGAGCATCCCCGATGTGAAACTTTAGGATTTTATTCATTTTAGAATTTCAGGAATACTTTACATACTTCTATCTCGCTATTAATATTATAAAAAAATATATATCTTGTATAAGCACATTTTGCAAAGAAATGAGAAATGTATCAGAATATTTTATTGCCGAAAAGATTCGATTGGTAATTATAAGTTTCTTTTTTTAAGTATTTTTTTCTGATGTGATGGTAAAATGGTCCAAATAATTCTGAGAAAATTCGAAGGCGCAGAGAATGTGAAAGGTACTATTTGCCTGCAAATATTGCACCTAATATTCACTTATATAATTTGTATAAATAAGTTTCTTCCTAAGAAGACACATCTGCAATATGGCGATCTGTAAAATGCAAATGCACGAGCATATACAAATGTATTAAAATCACGTTAGGACCACGTTGCCAATTGAAGTAGATAATATTTTGGAAAATGTAAAATAAAACAAGTAACTGAACTCGCGAAATCAAAAGTAAAAGTAAAAAGGATTTAGGCTATGAGAGTCAAACGTGGTTATTAGTGTGTGTCAATCTAATATAATTGTTCAAATACAATTCTTGATTACAACAATAGAGTTAAATAAGACCTCTAGATAAAATCAAACAACCAACGAGAATGCTATATAAGTCCAAGCGGGATACAGGTAGCCTATTAATTCAAATCTTATTTTGTGAACTGATATACCGTTTTTCCATCTGTCTTGCGCTCCGGTTTCTTTTCGGACACAACAGTTTCATTAGATAGAATATTGTCGTCAGCAAATTCACGTATTAATAAAAAATTAAATAATTGAATTATTCTGGGCTACATCCAGCTGGGACCTACATGACATTCTCGTTGGTTGTTTGATCTTGATTACAAGTTCTGACGTTTCGATTAAAGGTTTTAACCATCTTCAACGATGAGTTCTTTAAGGTGTGCTCCATTGTAGACCGAGAGAATTGTGTCTCATTCGTGTCAATGATTATCCAATTCAGGTCAACTACAGGATCGACTACTAGATTTCCGTCCAGTAGTCAAAGGAGCAAAGATTTAAACACTACGGAGCAGATTCCAAGCTGATTGTGCGAAAGACATGTCGTGACAATTATATTAGATTGACACGCACTAATAACCGCGTTTAACTCTCACAGCCTAAATTCTTTTTAATTTTATAATATTTTTGCTTCAATACTTATTCCTCCTATGTATGAACACAATCAAAGAAACAATCAACAATGTGCATTAGTCAGGCACATATGTATTAGTCGTCAACTTAGCTCCTTTTAATTCTTAGCATTTCCTTCTCCTAAGAATCTTAATCTAATCGAATAGTCTTCACTAACCTTAGCACTGAGAAAATTTTACGCAAACTGTCACGCAACGAAGATCGAAGGCCTTTATATATTTCTACTAGAAATTTAATGTATCTTCTTGTTTCGCTAATAAATATATATAATATATAAACGTGATTTACAAAGTTATGAACGCATTGGTTTTTAGGTCAGTCATACCATTGTGATTATGATCTTAAAAAGTTGCATACATCTAAGTGATGCAAAATTATCCGATTGACTAATTATGAGAAACTACATAAACATAAATCCATCTGTTCACAATATAATTGCGTGGTAAAAAGAAATTAATAATATTTTTACGGAAATATTTTTACTAGATGTCTCGAGTTTTTCTGTTTTCGTTAAATTTTTAAAGCTGTACATATCTAGCGTATAAATCTATTGTGATTCAAATGACTATATTTAATACAATAAAAAATAATTAACGAATAATTATTTCAATAAATAATAATTATAAAAAATTAAACATGTTTGTATCGAAGACAAATTTCTTTTTCTTAGGAAAAACCTACTTGTCACAAATGAAGTTTTGTAACATCCGTATATTAACCTGAAATTGTTTTACAAAATACTTGTCCACAACATTAGTCTGGCGTGTTCAGTTGTCTCATGATCTGTTGCGTGATTAATTTAGTCGCTTCGCTCGCGTTGGGTATAAGAAACTTATCCATATCGGAAATAACCGTGTCGTTATATTGCGTCGTACCGTATTTGAAAGTTATTAGATCGGCGTGCCGTTTCCGCGAAGTTATCTTGACGATACTTGTCAAGGGACGTTTCACGATCACGTGCGCGGCGCCTTTTCGCTCCGGGATTTCTCGCAGTACTATAAGGTGACTATCGGTAACCAATAGTTGACTAAAACAAAAAGAAAGAACACATGACTCTCTTTACATCGAAAGAAAATTCCCTTTTCTTACCTATCACAGAGATCGCCATTCACTTTCACTTCTTGGCATTTAAAGGAATGTAATAACTTGGGATCTTTCATCCATTGTTGTATAGATACTACTTCGATAGGCTCCTCACTTTCATTATTAGTCATTGTCATATCTGCAAGAGACATTAGATTAAATTAATTTCCTGTTAAACAGTTTGAGATCACTTGAGGATAACTTGGAGAATACGATTACCTATCTCTTGATCGTCATCTATACTAAATACAGGCGCGGTCTTTCTCTGACGTCTAATATAGTCCAAGTCTTTGCTATCTCTTTTTTCCGTATTGCTATTGACGTTTGCCGTGGGATTGACAATATAATCAAATAGCTTTCCTTTTACTTCCTGGCTCTTCAGCTTCATAGCCAATCCGATCTTGCCCAAGAGATCCGAATTGTTGTTCTTGACCTTAATCGGACTCGCCTCGTTCGAGTTTTCCTCCAATATATTAGCATTACACACTAGACAGTGCTGCGAGTTGTGATCGACGAGACTTGACACCACTTCGTCACCGAAATACTCGTGAATGGCTGAAAGCAACTTTATTATTATACGACGAGAACATAATTTATCTTAGTCAAAGTATAAACGTAGAGAATAAATACCCTGATATCCAGAAGTAACCATGCTCACGTATTGCGTATGCTTTTGTAAAAAAGACGCCACTACCATATGCGTGTAGCGGTCTTCCTCTTGTCTACCGCTTCCCAGAAAGCAAAGATGTTCTCCGCCAGCTTGCGAGCCAACAGCCAATGCTTGACGCTGAGCTTGTAGCAAGCCTTGTACGGCTGTAGCAAACGCGGCAGGTTCTTGTAGCATCTAAAAAAACAGAAACGTTCTTCTTTTATATCGAAATCTATAAAGCATTGCGTAAGTTATTTTAATAAATTTTAAGAGATCTAAAACATTTGGTCGATAACTTACCAAGTTACAATCGAGGTGAAATGCCGTTGGTAAGTGGCCCGCGTTATACTGCTCGGCGGGTCTGCAATCCACGAGGAAGAATCTAACAGTCTCGACAGTGCTATTAGATACGGATGGAGGCTCGATCGCATTTTCTACCAATTCTTGCGCCGATACAGGTAAACACAATGCGTGGGATATCAGCTTCTCGTCAGGGCTTTCGCCGAACATCACGGGATACAAGTCCTGTTTGAAAGAGGTTGGTGTCTTCATCGCATAATACTGCGCCAAGGAACAGAAATCGGTTACGTCCTCCGCTTCCAAAGCACAGGGCATTGCTGCTATCGCGTCTATTATACTTTGCTTGTCCTCATCTTTCATGCTCAAAATTTGCTCTCTACAAAGACAACAATTTAGATAGTGCGACAATAAATATACAACACCTACGTATCGACTTAGCTGATATCTACCTGGCATTTATAACCATGATAAGTGCAAGGAACAGCATGAAGAAAGGATCGGCCTGCATAAAGTACAGGTCCCACATTGTGCAGACCGCTGGCAATGAACAGACACCGGCGAAAAGGGTATTCATCCACACTTTCGTGTATTGATCGGGCGATATCCTCTTCGTGTCCAAGAAAGAACACAGTTCTGGCTCGTGATAGAGAAGCAGTAGTCTTAAGACTGAGCTGTACGTTTCACCTCTAAGAATAGTTTAAGACATTATGAAAACAATCAGCGATCAAACAGTCAACCTTATATTAACATCTAACATCGCTAAATGTAGCATCAGAAAAAAAATGCGAATTGCATTTGAAAAATAATTATTGAGTCGAATACGTGAATCTGCTGATGATAATAATTCCACGTGTAAGATAAAACTGCGTTATGTCCGAAAAAAGAAATCGGCGCGTAGAACTAATGTGGAAAGAAACGGTATATAGATTCACGATTTTCAGAAAGATTTTAAGATTTGCAAGTTGGGCTACCTACCTACATCTTGCCTTGCGACCCACATTGGCACGTTCTTATATACTGTTTAGTTTAAGATAGAGGGTCTTACTTGAAAGTTTATTATCCTTATATTAAAACTTGAAATAAAAATACTCGTTTTTGAGTAAAGAGACGTTTATCACAAGTATTCTCTTACCTTGGAATATAGATATCTCTTATCGCCTCGAAGAGATTATAAGTCGCAGCACGCGGCAATTTTAAAGCTATTAAAGGACCCAACAGTTCTAGCCATCCGTTTCCTCTTTCGTATTGTTTGCACTTGCTTTTACAATAAAACGTTAGTATCGATTCAAGATCGGAAACCACTGAGACTTTATCTTCGTCGTCATTCCCAAGTTTCGCTGCAATGTTTGACAACAACTTTTAGTAAACGCATATAAAGCTACAAATCCTCTTACTCACCGACCAACTGTTGACAGTCGTCGCGAATTACATTCTGTTCAGGTAAATCGTAAACCTCATTGAACTGACTCAACTGATCGCCTCGATCAGTAACGTAGAGGCAGGCCAGCCAGACGTCCGGTCTCAAGTTCGGCGGGATCGGCTGGCCTTTACATATGGCATATATATCGGACGCAGACGGTGCTTCCGTGTCGAGCAGCGCCGCTTCCAGTTCCAGTACCCTGAAATAACGAGGTGTCCGCTAATGGAAATGACAAGAACCGGCACTCAAAGTGCGTAAACTGAGAATACGCGTATTGGGCTGTACAGCCATTCGAGCCTACACTTATATCCGCACAGATACGGCGCACTAATTAGTACGTTAATTAGCAAGAACCGTCGAAACGACATTACGTAATTCACGTCCCTCCGCTAACGAAACATCCTCCGTCGCGGGGGCACGCGACGCCGTTGCTCTCCGACGTCTCGCGCAGCCTCGCGACGTCGCGAGCCGCGTCGCGGACCGACGGAGATCAGGCAGACGCGGAGAGTCCGACGTTCTCGGCGTCGAGGGGACGCGTCGTCTCCCCGACGAGGCAGGAGAGCCGCGATCTCGAGCTTACCAGGTGTTCTCGTCCTCCTGCAAGGCCATCGCGGGCGAACGTCGACGTCGCAGCGACGTCCGAGTCCCGGGACGAACGCGAGCGAGCGAGGATACCCGACGTTCGTTGAAGCCGTCTAGGAGCGCGACCCCGGTCGCTCAGCACCCCTCAGGGATCTCATATCGCGCGAGCTCCCTCAGTCCCGACGGGTCAGTGGCATGACAGCCGATAAAACGTAGCTGCTGTTGACAGACCGCCGCCATCTTTCCGGCGTGGTCTCGCACATGCGCGGGAGGCGCGGCGCGAACTTCGACAGCTGACCCGCAGCTTACGCGCAATTTCAGGTTTTGAAAACGGGTTTTGTATAAATATATTTGTATATATTTCAATCTCTTCTTCGCTTCGAACGATGGCGCGCACATTGAGATTACTGCGAACAGTGTTTCGTTAATTTAATCGAAGTAGTTGAAATTCCGTGGAATTGCCAACTGCAAAGTTTTTAGCGTACAACTTGTCGTCGCTAATTGACTTCTTTCCGTTAAACGAGATTAATTACTAAAAGATTAGGCCCGGTTCCATCAACGTCGCTTAACCTTAAGCTTAGCTTAATTCGTTCTTTGTCTCTTGCCAACTGTTACTTTAGAAAGAGACAAACGTGAATTAAACCAAGATTAATTAAAGTTAAACGACGTTTGGTGAAACTGGGCCTTAGGCTCGGTTTTTCGCCAACGTCGCTTAATTTCAAACTTAGTTTAATTCGTTCTTTGTCTCTTTCCAACTGTTGCTTTAGAAAGAGGCAAAGAACGAACCAAGCCAAGTTAAACAACGTTTATATCTACCAACGCTTAATTTATCTCGGTTCAACTTGCTTTTTATCTTTTTTCAATTTTCAGAACTCGAAAAAGGTATAGAAATTAATCTGAATTGATAGAAACGGGCAGAAATCTTAATTCTATCCACAAAATTTAACAAAATAATTGTACAGTAGTGGACAGAATGGTTGTGACACTTTTCTTTTAATGCGTTCAGGAACGCGCATTTAGATTCAGGGTTACGCTCAAAAATTTTTCTCTGAGAAATAATTCCCATACAGCACAGCCCAGACAGCACCCAATATTTATGATAAATATTCATAAATATTTCTTTATATTTATTTTTTAAAATATTATATAAATGTTTTATATATATTTTATATACACGAAAGAAAAAAGAAATAAAATATTTATTTAAAATACAAGGTGTGGCAATTAAGTTCCGAGAATTTGTCAATAAAACACAAGCAAATTAAGTTACAAGCAAAATTTTATTATCGACCTGTGTTTTATTGACAAATTCCCGGAACTTAATTGCCACACCTCGTATTACTAAAATATAGACTAAATATTTTATACAATCCGCTAAACTGTTATTAAAACATCTTTCTTCCTAAATAATTTTTATTCCGTTATAAAAAATTTAATACTAAATTTTCTATTATTAATAATTTTCTATTATTAAAAATTAATAATATATTCTCTATTATTAAAAATTTTTTATTATTAATTAATATATATTTTGTTAATGGACTGTTTGGCGGATAAATATATTTCTGAAATGGGAATTCTCTTCTGAAGCGTTAGACGCAATGATCGCCGACTCGGTCGTCGAGTCTCGAACGGTAGTGGATATATAAGTTGCTTTCCTTTTACATGAAAACTCAAATAAATCTTGTGACGTTATAACTCAGTTGAATGCATGTTCCTTTTGATTCTTGAGAAGTGAGATTCAACCAGATTTAACTTTTTTTCAACCAGATTTAAAAGTTTTTGCACACGATCAAGACCGTGTGCTTTAGTGAGTTTATAAATAGACTCACATTAATGATGTCATATCTGACAATAAAATACTCACATAACTGAGTGACTCAGTATCACTTGAGTGTAAAAGGAAAGCAGCTATTGTGGGGAATAGTAGCTATTAGGTGTCGTTACAGAAATCGGCCCGAAACCCGAAATATGCCGTAGTCTTTTAACTGCTGCTGCGTTCGTATTTACGCGCGCCCGCCATTGTTGCGCGCGCAGTCTTTCTCGATATTCATTGGCTACTCAGCTACGGGACCCTTGTGGTCATGCGCGCTGGCTCACTTCACGTATAGTATAGCCTCGCCAGTCGCCACCTCGAGCTTGCCGGTATGTGTGGGTACGTGCACGTGCGTCTCTCCTGCCGGGTTGCATCATTCCGCGCGAGGCCCG